AGTGTCCGCATAACTTCGAATGAGTAGTGCAAGAAGACACGGATGCAAAAAGATGGACACGAAGACAGCACAAGTCTTAGTGTTAGCATTTTACTCCCTTGTTCTAGAGGCCTGCTTTATGTAGCTCAGTGCAGTCTACCAGTGCATTGGCTCTGAGTTGCAGGCGAAGTGTTCTATGCTATACTAAAACTGTGCAACGAAGGCAGTATAAAATGTTTCTGAAGTGTCAGCATGTCATACGTGCATGTCTATAAACTCACATTAAATACAACGAGAGTACTTTGCAAGACAGCTGACTCATCCAATGGTTTGCTTCTACAATATTTCTTTGTGAGCTGTTGCCCGATACTGCCACTTGTAGAATCTCTGACAGGTGCACCGATTCCTTGTCATATGCCATGACCAACTCTTGAGAGTACATAGTGAAAATAAAGGCTAATTATGGTGTACAACAGAAATAACTACACTTTGATAGTGCTCCCAGTGATAATGCTGCAGTTTGGATGACTTGGCAGGCACAGTATTACATGCAGTCTAGTTGCACTCAGTTAAAGCACAAGCGTACTGTACTATACAGAGACATATGGTGCAAAAACTGCTTGATGATCGAAAAAGGAGACAAAAGTGCACCCCATTCTTTAAGCATCTCGCGCGCTCATCACAGTCGTCTAGCACCGCAGACTGTAACGGAAATCTGCACGATTCCATACTGCTCAAGGCGTGAGCCTACAGTCTGCCGCAAATAGATTTCTTGACGATTGTTTTCTAATGGTGCCATCTAAGACACTCGTGCAGTTTGCTGGTAGCAAAGTTCAAGTGCATTAAATAATGAAAGCCCGCTAAATCTCACCATAGCCTGCCAAAGGACTGTTGCGCTTGGTAATTTTTACGCTCTTTCATGACAATCTCAGAAAACTTTAAAAGCCAGGCACATACCTTAAACAAAATGCATTTTGAACTTTTGAAAACCTTGTGAAAGTGAGATGCATGGTTCACTCAGCATGTCTTATGCACTGGGCATTACTTCTGCTAGCCTTTTCGGGTGCACATTTCTATTCATGGATAGAGATGGTTTCATAACAGTTCAAGTGAGAAAGGCATCTCATCAGTGGCACACTCATTGCACAAAACGTACAACCAGATCACAGAAAAGGAAAAAGAAGATATTTTTCTTAAGATATACAAATGTCTCATATTCACAGGCCCATGCGTTCACACATGTTATGTGTTTGTCCCTTTGGCGCACTCGGAAATTACCAAATGAGAATTTCGTTTCGTGAACAAACACTCCTACAATGATTTATTGTCTAAAGCTCTTTGATTGTGAAACCTCAATTGCAACACAGGTACACACTTGAAGACGCACTTATCACGATCATGCTAGAACATAAAAGCTTGAGTTCAGAGCATAACCTTTCTGCCCAGCAATTACATGATACCCACTAAAAAGAAACAACACAATGCATTTTGTGTCAAGAGCTCAAAGTCTACTTTCGAACCCTTTTTGATGCCTCCTTTTATAGACTATGGCTTGTGAAAAAAATACATTACACATATTCACCCATACAAATTGGCACGAATTGGTACACATAACACTCACAGGCTTAAAATACTAAGTATATATAAGAGCATTAAGCTAAATACGATGCACGAATGGGCGCTGAATTCCTATGTCTACTAGCACAACGTTGTGCTTCTGGTTGCTAGTGAATGTCGACAGAAGCTTTTCTGCCAGTCACAAATTTCACAACTTGTACATGTGCTTCAGTCATTGCTATACCCAATGGTGCCATTATACTACAGTGAAATCCCGTTATAACGAACCTCAGATTAACGATTTTTTCAGATTAACGAATATTTCGGAAATCCCCTTCCAAATGTCCATTGGTTAAATGTAAAAATATTTCACTACTACGAATTTCAGAATAACGAATGTTTCAGAATAACGTATCAAATTTTATCACCCTGGTACCTTAAGAGCACTTCAAAAATAACGAATTTCTAGCGTAAAAATTACGTGCGGCGGTCTAAATGCCCTGCGCCATATGTGGCACTATCATCATCATCAGAGCTCCTGCTCATTTCTCCATGCGTTGCCTTATGCTAAATGCGCACTAGCCTGGCTAGCCCTATCGCCATTGCCAGTACCTTGTTTTCGATGTTTTTTTTTTTGCATGCTCGTTGAGCCAGGTTGAGCCTAACCTCGCCGCCTTTGTTTTGTTACGTCGACCGGCAACGTCGCACGATTGTCGTACGGCTTTCTCGTTTTAAAGGTTAGAGTGATTCGTTTCTGCGTTCGTGATGAGCTCCGGAAGCAGCGCGAAAAAGAAACGGAGGCAGTTTTCTTTGAAAGAAAAAGTGGATATTCTTTCTCAAGTGGACGCCAGTAAAAAACAAATTCACATTGCGAACGAGATGGGGGTTGCACCATCAACTGTCGCAACCATCCTGAAGGACCGACAAAATATCCTCGAGCTGCACCGAGGGTCCCAACTCGCACCGTCAAGAAAACGGCTCCGACTTGGGAATTTCCAAGAAGTGGATGCTGCAGTACTGACTTGGTTCAAGGACGCGCGTTCTCAAAATGTGCCGGTGTCGGGACCCATGCTGCAGGAAAAAGCCCGGCAATTCGCTGATGCTTTGGACATCACAGGCTTCGAAGCAAGCGCGGGGTGGCTTCATCGTTTCCGTGAAAGGAATGGAATCACCTGGCAAGTGGTGTCTGGTGAAGAGAAGGCGGCAGACGCAGCAAGCGCTGCTGCATGGAGGGACGAGAAGTTCCGCGAAATCATCGCTTCATACTCCGAAGATGATATATTCAATGCGGACGAAATGGCGTTCTTCTATCAAATGCTTCCTGATAAAACCATGCATTTTAAAGGGAACAGCTGCAAAGGCGGCAAGCAGTCCAAAGTCCGGATTACGGTATTGTTATGCTGCAATTCCACAGGCACCAAGAAGCTGAAGCCCTTGGTGATCGGCAAATACAAGAAGCCTCGCTGCATGAGGAACGTTGTTTCATTGCCGTGCGATTATCGGGCTAATTCACGCGTGTGGATGACACGAGAGTTATTCTCTGAGTGGCTACTAAAGGTGGACGATGAGATGAGGAGCGCAGGTAGGAAAATCCTGATTATCGCCGACAACTGCTCAGCGCATCTTGTTAATGTCAGGCTGACAAATGTACAGCTGGAATTCTTGCCTTCGAACTGTACGTCCTTGCTCCAGCCACTGGACCAAGGCATCATAAAAAGTGTCAAGGCCCATTACCGGACACGCCTGGTTCAGCGATTGCTGATAAATCTTCGGATGAAGCTGCCTACCTCCATCAATGTGCGACAGGCCACAGAAATGGTTACCGGGGCCTGGTGGAGCGTTACATCAACCACCATCCAGAACTGCTGGAGGAAGGCAGGCTTGGTAGTAATGCCATCTGAATCTGAACAAGGCAGCGAAGAAAGCGACGCGAGTGGCATGTGGCAAGAAGTCGTCGAAAGACTCGCGATGGATGCCTCGGTGACGTTCGAGGACTATGTGCAGTGCGACGACGAAGCATGCACGTCAGCCAAACTGACGACCGATGACATCGTCAGTGCTGTTCGTGGTGATAACAGCGACAAGGATGCCAATGGCGAAGACGACGCTGAGACCGCGCCCGTTAGCCAACCAGAAGAATCGCTTTCCAACGCCGACATCATGGAATGCGTGCGAAAGATGCGCACTTACCTTGGCAGGTGCAGCAATGCCACCGAAGCAGAGCATAAGAATGTGGACAACTTCGAAGCGTTCGTCCTGCGGCAGTTGAGCGGCACCCGCCAGGCCAAGATCACAGACTTTTTCAAATAAACGTGCGCTCATTCCGGAATACTTCGCGTTTTGTTTCTTTTCACGCTCGTCATAAAATCAAGCGTTTGCGGATGTGTACACAGGAAAGGTAGGCGACTCCTTTTGTTGCATTTACGATTTTTAATGCGAATTTTCGATGTTTTCACTATAACGATATTTCAAAATAACGAACTATTTTCCGCGGTCCCTTCAAATTCGTTGTATCGAGATTTAACTGTATACCCAATGATTCAAAGGGATGATTGGTTAAATTAGCACCAGGTAGTTGACATTCAAAGGCATGCAATAAGCACACCTTTTTCTTCGTTTTTACCTGTTTTATATCCCCTTCAACAAAATTTTCACTCTTTGAGTCATGCCTAGCATCAAAAATTGAGTACTAAAGCCTCACTGGTTATCCCAATACCACAACGCAAGTGATCACTCCTAAGCAACAAGACTTAAGATTTTCGAGAACAAGCTCCAGGAGCAATATTACCATATCTTTAGGCAGCTTATAATTTGTTTCCAAACACAATGAATAAATGTACAGCAACTCCAGTTAAAACCACACTCTTGACGACTCTTGATAGCACAGCGTAAGAAGGAGCTGCTAATTTCATATGTACCTAGTGGCGATCGTTTGCGATATGATTCTGAGTATGATAACCTGCTAGGGTAATGTCAATGCAGCCAGGTGAATACTTCAAATAATACAATAACCACAGTACTTTCATTATAGCAGTTTTGTAATAACAAGGCTGTACACTAGCATTGGTCAGTAGTTTCATTGAGCACGATATTGCATCATTTTTTAAACCAGTCCAACTAGAACTTTATGATTTACTTTGTGCTTAGAGAAGATTAGAGATCTTCCTTATGAATAAAACAAAACAGCAGTGATGTAGCTGTTTGCAGGTAAAAGCAGTTGAGAGACGCACTGTAGAGAGTTGTATAACTAAAAAATTTTAACAGAAGAAATTTTAAAAGTTTTCTTTGTTGCATGACAAGAAGTGATGTGCCAGGATAGTGCACATCACTTTTTAAATGTAAGGTGAATGGTATAGCACCACTTACCTCACATTTAAGTTAGCCTAACACAATGTGGCTGTATCTACAGCCTCTCATAAATGCCACATGTTCAGGTTTCAGGTTGTCAACATTCTCACACGTGCTTCTTGAGCGTTCCTTCTTTATTATGTATTCTAAATTTGCACAGAAACACAAGTTAAGAAAATGGCAATGGTAAACAAGGTCAACAGCAACAACGAATACAACATAACTGCTACCGACTGTTGCATTGCCACATTAAAAGCTACAGCACTACAGGAAAGCAAGTCTAGAAATGTATACACGCAGCTCACAAAAAGTGACACACACACTATTCCAGAAGCACTGAATGCATAGCCTTCACTATTTTGTAAATTTAAGTACATATCTGAAAAACTCCTGGTATAGACATAAAAATATTACCATGTATACGGCCAGCTAGCAAGCATTTTTTTTTCCACCTACATTTGGCAGTTGTTTTTTAAATATAGTCACAGAGAAAGCATTCGCCAGAATTCATGTATAACTGCTTCCACCTGCAGCTCACATCTTTTATCCCTACAATTTGTTGCCTTTTACAATAAGCTTGCCAGACATTGTGAAACAGTATAAGTCTGCATGTGCAAGACCTTCTGGGCGCAAGAACCGCACTGGTGGCTTTATCTGCCTGCATTATTAAGCTCAAGCAGGATTGTGCGACAGCATTACCCTTGTGCTCTTTCTCAACTTCTGCCATTTGCTCAAGCGTCACTGTGCTGTCTTTAGCACCTGCCGAAGAATCGACTTGGTGGAATTGATGAAATGAACTGAAATTAAAAGAAACAAACAAATGCATAAAGCTTTGCGTCAAGCTAAAGCTTGCGCTTGGTGTTGAATACTCCTCCTGCCTTGTTAAAGATAAGCTGACATCTGTTTTCTCGTGCTTCATTTTTGCAACCTCTGCCTTTTAACTATTTGACTTCTTTTGTCACCGTGTAATTACAGTGACCCTGTGTAGTTTAGGCACAAGATGTTCCAACCAGGCACTGCTGCAGGAGACGCGAGTGCGATGCGTGCCCATGCCTAGACTGCTTTCACTGAACCAGTCACCCCAGTACTCCGACAGAGCACCGACAACTGGGCAAGTGTAAGGGTTCATGATTATGAGATGATGCAACCAAAAGACACAGAACACTGACCACGAAGATGACACTAGTCAATGAAGAAGACACGACACTTTCCTTCGTGCCTACTTCATCAACCATAATTTGTGTCTTTTTGTTGAGCCGTTTCATAATCATGAACATCCAACTGAGGCTCCGTCTGGGACTAAAGCTGCTGTAGCCATTCCAAGGCCTCCTCCCTCAGCCAACGCTGCATCCTCTAAATGGAGCAGCCCCTTACAGAGAGCTTACAGAGATTAGCTCGCAAGCACTACATAAACTTCGGTGGCATTGCCGTCATGAACTGAATAATAACGTACAACAGTAGGAGTGACGGCTTAGGATACAATGGAGGCCATCGCTTAGCAAGGAGTGGCAAGCTTGCACGAGAGGCAAGTCTCGGCCTTTTCCACCGACCTCACACACAGCGTGGCTCTGTCAAGGGCATTTCGAGAATGCTCTGGTGCACACACTACCTAGGCGGCTAACCCAGGCGGGTTAGCTGTAGGAACGAAAACGTACTGACAGTCCGAGTGAATACTGCGGCCCTGGATGCGGCTGCTTACGAGCCAACAGCGAGCTCGTACGAGAAAGGAATGATGCCTCCCGGACCCGCGAGCAGGCTTTTTCCAGCCAGGTCAAGGTCAATCTGACGAGCAGCTTGGCGGCCCTCATTGATGGCATGCACCACAAGGGATTGACCTCGGCGACAGTCTGCATACAATGCAACAATGACAGCATTTGAAATTGAATTCTTGTATGAACACTACATCAACAAGAACAGCAGTGCTCATTGGCACTGCAACATAACAGCATTATTGTTGTGAGCAATTTGTATTGGTAAAAGAGCACTGTGAAGCTTTTTCAATTGTGATTTTAGTGTAACTAGCATTCTTCTGTAACCTCACCCAGTTTAGAAGAACCGACTACTGGGCAAGTTAGTATGAATTCATATTACTGAAACGAAGCCACAAGATAAGATTAATGCACATGAAGAAAAGGAAACATGAAACGCAAGCACCCAGTTTTTAATACTTCTCAAACCTTTGTCATGTCAGTGTAAGTCCACCAACCGTGCATAGTTCTCTAAACTAAGCATCGAACTCATGACCTTGTGTTCCATTGCTCTTCCTTAGCTTCCCTGTAACACTACGCAATGGCTTCGTTTAAGCGATGTCCCATTTGTAGGTGAGATTGCAAAGTAAAAGCAATTGGAAACGTGAACACACCCCCAGCAGCATAAACTCGTGGCACCGATGTGTGGTACGAGTTGGCTGTGGTGCGGATGTTGCACCGTGGGTCTTGCTCCAGACTCAGTTCATCAATGAGGTACTTCTCGGGACCCAGGAACCCCATGGCCAGGAGCACAAGGTCAGCCTGCACAGACACGAAAAAAAAAAACAGTTAGATCAAACAAACATTTAATCAGTTTGCACCAATAAATGATTCTGTAAAAACTTCATTCCTCATTATTATTCCTATTACTGACTTATTATTCATAAAAAGAAAAAAATATCAAGGTCCAATTTCTTCAGTACTTGTGCAAAATTGTCAGAAGCTGGACATAACGGTTATATCGCATATTTCACTTGGTCAAGATGCTAGCTAGTAGTATAAAAGAAACGATCCGTGAGCTCCTGGAAGAGTTATTTTATCAAAGAAAAGAGTAGTAACTGTAAGTCAGTGAGAAATCGTTTACACATCGTAATATCAGGCAAAGTCTATTGAAAGTAAGTGACCTTGAAGACTTTGGAGGTGTCTGGCAGCTCCTTCATGTTCCAGCGGCCCGTGGCGTCCTTCTTCCACTCGACCTGCACTGTCCGGATGCCCGACACATGGCCCTGGCCATTGTCCAGGAATTCCTGCAAGGCGAGTTGTTGCTCCTTCAACACTGACTGCAGACACATCGATGTTCACGTCATACACTTTTGAAGGGTTTGACTTGTTGACTTAGTGATGTTGTATCCCGAACCTCAATATAACAAACACGGATATAATGGAATATTGTCACGATGAGTCACAAGTACTGGGAGATATATTGAACAACCGGGTAGCTAGCTCTAGGTCGATGCGTCAGTCGTGGCTGGCTCTCGAGCCGAGAAGAGACACGCAAATCTTCTTCCTTTCCTCCAGATGGTAGAGCCGCTCTTGCAGTCGACCCACTACGTGTGGGTGGCATTATCCCCCCTTTCGAAAAGAAAAAAAAAAGTCCCAAAAGGGGGAAAGAAAAGTACATAGCACCACCACGATGTTACGACATAGGCACGTGGAAAAAAAGAAATTGGAAATTCGGATAAAGTAAAAATAGAAATGAACGAGCGTGCCAATATAGGAAAAATCAGTGAACGAAGAAGCAAGTTCACAAAAATAAATAAATAACACAAAGAACGCTGTACGGCAAGAAAAAAGTTATGAACAACGCGCAATAAATGGTTTCATGCGCAACACATGAACGACATCCGACCTCGGTCGTGTCCTACTCCGTGCCTGCGATGTTGAGTCCGGAACCACTTCATAGTTCACGTCACTGACGCGACGTAACACTTTATAAGGGCCAAAGTACCGGCTCAGTAACTTTTCACTAAGGCCACGGCGGCGGACGGGCGTCCACACCCAAACTTGGTCTCCGGGGTTGTAAAATACTTCACTGTGGCGGATGTTATAGCGCCGTGCGTCTGCCTGCTGTTGCTGGCCGATGTGTAGTCGCGCGAGCTGCCGGGCTTCCTCAGCACGCTCTGCGAATTCATCGGCGTCAGTTGTCAACTCGTCTTCGTCTTGACACGGTAGCATAGAGTCCAGCATGGTCTGCACTTCGCGGCCGTAGAGAAGCCGAAATGGCGTGAATCGCGTGGTCTCTTGCACGGCGGTATTATACGCGAAGGTCACGTAAGGTAAGATCCGGTCCCATGTTTTGTGCTGTACGTCGATGTACATTGAGATCATGTCTGCAATGGTCTTATTCAGTCGCTCGGTAAGTCCGTTGGTTTGCGGGTGGTACGCAGTTGTCTTTCGGTGTCTGGTGTTGCTCAGTTTGAAAACCTCGTCCATAAGCTGCGCCGTGAATGCCGTCCCTCTGTCCGTTATTATAGTGGAAGGAGCACCGTGTCGTAACACGATGTGGCGCATGAAAAATTGTGCTACCTCAGAAGCCGTGGCTCGTGGGATCGCCTGCGTCTCAGCGTAGCGTGTCAGATAGTCGGTCGCGACGATCACCCATTTGTTGCTGTCCGCAGATAGGGGAAATGGCCCGAGAATGTCCATGCCGACTTGGTCGAACGGCGTGCAGGGTGCTTCAATGGGCTGAAGCAAACCAGCTGGCTTAACAGATGGTTGCTTTCGACGCTGACATTCCCGACAGCTCTTGACGTACTTCTTGACGCTTGCCGAAAGTCCTGGCCAATAGTACCTCTCACTCACTCTGGCAAGTGTCCGTGAGTAGCCCAGATGACCGGATGTGGGTTCGTCATGGCAAGCGAAAAGGACGTCGTCTCGCATGTCTCGAGGAACCACCAGGAGGTAGGTACGGTTGTTCGAACGAGCGTTCTTCTTGTACAGCACACCCTCTCGAAGGCAGAATGACGGCAACGAGCGGGATAAATGACGTGGTATGATTGTGTCCTGGCCCTCTAAATGATCGATGATCGGACGAATCTCTGCGTCATCCCGCTGCAGTTTACTCAAGTCTGATGAGCTAATGGCGCCCAGGAAGCCTTCGTCTTCCTCTGCTTCCTGACTGACGACATGAAGGGGTGCGCGTGACAGTGTGTCAGCGTCTTCATGCTTACGGCCGGACTTATGGACGATGGTGACGTCAAATTCCTGCAGCCGCAAGCTCCACCGTGCTAGCCGTCCTGAAGGGTCGCGCAGGCTTGCCAACCAGCAGAGGGCATGGTGGTCCGTCACTACCTTGAAGGGACGACCATAAAGGTACGGGCGAAACTTGGTGATTGCCCACACGACTGCGAGGCACTCTTTCTCCGTAGTGGAATAATTCGCCTCGGCACGGGATAGAGAGCGGCTGGCGTAGGCTATCACCCTTTCGATGTCGTCTTGACGCTGAACGAGCACTGCACCAAGCCCAACGTTACTAGCGTCAGTATGGACCTCCGTGTCAGCATCATCGTCGAAATGAGCGAGAACGGGTGCTGATTGCATGCGCTGTCGCAGTTCATCAAAAGCTGCTTGTTGCTCGTTTTCCCAGACAAACGGCGTGTCGTCCCTTGTGAGACGAGTCAGAGGTTCTGCTATCTGTGAAAAGCCATGAATGAACCGGCGATAGTAGGCGCACAAACCAAGGAAGCGCTGGACGGCTTTCTTATCGACAGGAGCTGGTAATTCGGCAACAGCGGCAAGCTTGTCTGGATCGGGCCGGACTCCTTCAGCGCTAACTACATGTTCAAGAAATTTCAGTTCTTCATAGCCGAAGTGGCACTTCTGTGGCTTTAGAGTGAGGTCCGCCGATCGGATAGCCTCCAGCACGCTGCGCAGGCGCTGTAGGTGCTGCTCGAACGTGGCAGAGAAGACCACCACATCATCAAGGTAGACAAGACAAGTCTGCCACTTGAGCCCTGTGAGGACAGTGTCCATCATTCGCTGGAAAGTTGCCGGCGCTGAACACAAGCCGAAAGGGAGTACTCGAAATTGGTATAGGCCGTCTGGAGTCACGAAGGCTGTCTTTTCGCGGTCTCGCTGATCTACCTCGATTTGCCAGTACCCGCTTTTGAGGTCGAGAGAAGTGAAATAATGGGCACGACGAAGTCTATCCAGCGAATCGTCGATACGCGGTAGCGGGTACACATCCTTTTTGGTCACGTTGTTGAGCTTTCGGTAATCGACGCAGAAGCGTAGCGATCCGTCTTTCTTTTTAACAAGCACGACTGGAGATGACCACGGGCTGTTGGATGGTTCGATGACGCCATCGTCAAGCATCTCGCGAACTTGCGTACGTATCGCTTCACGTTCTTTAGCCGACACGCGGTAGGGGTGCTGGTGTATTGGGCGTGCGTCCTCGTACGTGATGATCCTGTGCTGAGTGATGGACGTCTGGCGGATCTTTGAGCAACTTGCGAAGCAAGACCTGTACTCGAACAAGAGCGCTCGCAGCGCAGTCTGGTTATCGGTGGACAGATCAGGATTGATGTCAATGTTGCTCATTGATGTGTCTGCGTTATCCACTATTTCTGACGTGGGACAGTTGGTTACGTTTGCTACTTCGTGGGCAAACGCTATCGAAGTGCCACGGAAAAGGTGTCGATGCTCGTTGCTAAAGTTGGTAACGAGCAATTCAGATCGGCCGTCGCGAACGTGAATTACACTTCTCGCTACACATATGCCTTGCTGCAGGAGGTGTTCTAAATTTGTCTCGGCCACCACATCGCCATCGCTCAAACCACAGCATCTTACGTCGACTAGAACACTGGCTCGGGGAGGAAGCGTCACGCTCTGTTCAGAAATACGAAGTACGTCGACACGCATTCCATCATCCTGCACGTTGATTGCTCGCTGGGCTGAGAACGTGACGCGGCGCTCTTGCAGATCAATGATAGCTCCATTTTCCTGTAGAAAATCAACTCCCAGAATGACGTCACGGGAGCATTCACGTAGAACAAGGCAGCTTGCTACGAATGTGTACCCTTGAATCTGTACTCTAATTGTGCAGGCACCCAGTGGAGTTACGACATGGCCACCAGCTGTCCGAATCTGCGAGTTATGCCACGGCGTGATTACTTTCTTCAGCTGCGTTGTCAGTTTCCCGCTCAGTATGGAATAGTCTGCGCCGGTGTCCACTAACGCATTAACTACACAACCATCAATTGTTACTGCTATGTCGAGTGAAAGCCGGCTATCTTTTGCAGCAGCAGGTGATGTCGGACCGGTTTATGTACGGTTCTGCGTCAATAGGAGGTCTTCAGCGCTTCGACGTTCAGCGACCCCGCCCCCAGAGGTCGCTTCGGCTAGTTTTCCCGGCGGGGGCTGGGAGATCGTGCGGTAGAATACCGCTGGGGCATTGATGAAAATCGCCTCGGTGATGGCGAGCGCGACTGGCGCCCGGCAGACGGTGGTTCATGCTGCTGGGAGAGGTAGTTTTGGATGTCGCGTGGTCTCTGACCATAACGGGGGGGCGGCGAGTACGCAGAGAAGCCGCGAAGCCCAAGACGGCGATAAGGACACTGGCGGTACAAGTGATCAGCTTCTCCGCAATGAAAGCATAGAGGCCGGTGATCGGGTGTGCGCCAGACATCAGACTTCCGAGGATACGAATGCCGATCGTCGATGTACTGGACCGGTTGTACCGAACGATGGGCAACAGAAGCACCACGGCCAAAGGGCAGGGGCGGTGGCGTGTACGTGCCTTCGTAGTATGGCATGTGCTGCGCTGACTCGAGTGAAACTGCAGGGACAGAATGAACGAACAAGGGCGGCGATGCAGCAGGGCGTTTCAGGGCTTCCGCGTAGGTTGTCTTACGGTGGTATTCAGCAGGAGCTGGCGCAGCTGTGTCAGGAGGCAAGGTGTCCCGGAGGGCCTGGTGCAGCTCATCTTTGATGACGGTTGCAATAGAGCTAACCGTAGGATTAGGTGTTACACCAGCCTTTTGCAACTCCTCACGTACGATATTACGGATGAGTTCACGTAAGGAGTCATTGCTGGTCCCAGCGGCGGCGAAAATGTCAGCAGAGGACATGCCTCTGACTTGCCTGTCGTATTGGTTTGATCGCTGCTGTAGCATTTTTTCCATTGTCACGGCTTCAGACAAGAACTCCGCGACCGTCTTCGGAGGGCTTCGCACGAGGCCGGCGAAAAGCTGGTCCTTGACACCACGCATCAAGTGACGCAACTTCTTGTCCTCCGTCATTCTTGAATCTGCCCGTCGGAAGAGACGCGTCATGTCTTCGACGTACGCGGTCACAGTTTCGTTTGGCGACTGGACGCGGGCAAGAATAGCTCGTTCAGCTCTTTCTTGGCGGTCAGCACTGGCATATGTCTGCAGAAGTCTACGAGAGAATTCTGGCCACGTCGTCAGCTGCTCCTCTCGATTTTGATACCACGTGCGAGCCCAGTCTTCGAGATAGAAGTAGACACGACCCAGTTTCGCCGCGTTGTCCCACTGATTCAAGTTGGCTACGCGCTCGAAGTTCGCCAACCAGTCCTCAACGTCTTCGCTCTCCGTACCATGGAACGTCGTCGGTGCCCGTGGGCTTTCCAACGTATATCGGTTCGACGACGTGCTTCCCGTGCCGGTTGGCAAGGTTTGTACCGAAGTGCTGGTCATGTTTGTTGACGTGGTGGTAGCAGTATCGTTGACTTCCGGAGGCAATCCCCTGATTCGGCGGCTCGTCCGATGCACGGGAGTATTGACTGGCACTGGACTCGTATTACGGCTTCCTGGGGGGGTCTGCAGCATCCGTGAGACTACCCAGCACCTTCCACCAGTTTGTCACGATGAGTCACAAGTACTGGGAGATATATTGAACAACCGGGTAGCTAGCTCTAGGTCGATGCGTCAGTCGTGGCTGGCTCTCGAGCCGAGAAGAGACACGCAAATCTTCTTCCTTTCCTCCAGATGGTAGAGCCGCTCTTGCAGTCGACCCACTACGTGTGGGTGGCAATATCGTTTATAAAGAAGTAAACGAAAAATAGTCTTGCAATAAATACAGTGTTAGAATAACAGTTGTAACAAATTTTTCAATATAACAAACTTATTTTTTTATAAGGTGCGACTTTATTATGTGGTATGAGTGTATCAAAAATTAATACATTCAAGGAAGCAGTCATGGTACAAATCAAGTGACACACTAAATCCAAACACTTCATACTTCACATCCAAACATGACCTACATGATTGAGCAATAATGTACAAAACTGAAAGTCATTGCATTGATTAAAATCACAATAAAAGCAAATTCATTTTTTTCTGTCTAATCAGAACTTGCTGATTAGCCATTAAACCTGTATTGTCTTTCATAAACTTATTTTATCATACTTCTTTTCACTGAGTCAGTTTCATCATGTCAAGTGTCAAACATCATTGTATACAGTTCTTGTATGTGTCACTGCATTGCAAGAACACTGTCATTTAGAAAACATACATTTCCTGTAGATGTTAGACCTCACTAAGGAGCAATGCACTGATGATGAAGGCATAGTATTATCACCCATTAGCCTTGCAATGTGATACAAGAGGAGTCTCAATTCAAGCAATTATACAGTCGAACCCCGCTACAACGAACACCGGTTTAACGAAATTTCCGCTTCAACGAAAAATTCACGGTTCCCCGTCAGCAGCCTATGGGAGTCAATGCATACATATTGTCACCACAACGAACACTTTTCCTTGCGCCGTCCCACTTCAACCAAATTTCACGATGCGATTCCAGGCTCAGATATTTCATGCTCAGATATTTATTGCTATACAGTAAACCCAATCTAACATTTTGATGCATTTTCAGAACTTGAAAAATGTCGACGAAGTCTAAAACATGCGTTGGCACCACCAAAAACCACCGCTATTCAGCAAGCATGGACGCCGACATTGCTCGATAGCAATGGCAATGAAACTACCCTGCTTTTGTCACTGGTAAAATCAGGGCAGCCTCATTGCCGTCACTATGGAGCAATGGCGGTGCCCAAGCTTGCTGCACAGCAGTGGTTTAGGATGGTGCTAACGCCTGTTTTAGACTTCATCGACGTATTTTCAGGTTCTGAAAATGCATAAAATTGTTAAAGAGTGGGTTTACTGTATAGCCGCAGACGGCCCGAAGCTGCAGCTCAGTTGCTTAGTTCATGGTTTCCTATGCGCAACTGCTGGGTGCATCTGCGGAACGATGCCTCTGCCGATTCCAATGCTCATCATTTTCTTCTTGCTTGACCAGTGCCAATCAGAGCAGCTGTTCGTCTGCCTTATCAACAAAATCAGCAAGCCGAGAGTGATGAATGATAAGAATGGCATAAAATAAGGCAAAAGTCACCGCTCCATGACACCCTGCTGCCATCTCGCCGCTTTGACGGCGGACAGCTGCTGGTGTTAACGTGGTAATGCAACTGTTTAGTTCGCTCACGAAGGCGGTTGTGGTCATTGTTTCAGTGTGCTTTTCACCATGGCTTGGCTATGCATGGGTGAGAATCATGTGACGCAGCTGGTATGGAATAAAAAGCAGCACACACTTTTTTAATTTTGAGAATAAAGGTTTCTTTGTTTAGCTAGTTCAGATCGACTATATTTTTTCGATTTCACTACAATGAAATTTTTGCTTCAACGAAATTTTTTCGCGCCCCTTCAGTTTCGTTGCAGTGGAGTTTGACTCTAATTATTTTCTTTCTGTCAATGTTTACCGTAATTACTCGAATCTAACGCGCACCTTTTTTCCGGTTAAGCGAGTTCATAAATCGCATGCGCGTTAGAATCGAGTACGAACAAAAAATTACGGTCAATCTATTGCCATCGCAAATCCAAAATGGCCGCCCCCTACGTGCGTCGGCTATTTCTGCCTATGTGTTTACCATGTGCGGCACTTCGTACGTGTGCTGAGGAGTTCGTCATCTAGTAGTGCATTAGCATCGACGACGTGAAAGGGCCGACTCCAAAAACTCAAGTGCACCACGATGCCGCTTTTAAAAGAAAAGTCATCGCGTGTGCAGAAACAGACGGAAGTCGGGCCGCATCGCGGTCGTTCCCGAAACGTGCGTGCGGGAGCGGCGGAAACAAAAGCAGAAGATTGTCGACAGCAAAGCTTCACGCAAAGGCTTCAGTGAGCCACAGCAGGGTCGGTTTCCGCAAATTAAAGAGCTGCTCCGCGAGTATGTGCTTGAGGAGCGAGCGGCACAGCGGCCCGTGACGACAGAACTGCTCTAAGTGCGGGCTATGCAATTAGTCTTAGAAAAAAGTCTAATGCGGAGCCAGTTTAAAGCGAGCAGGTGCTGGCTAATTAACTATATGAAGAGGAAAGGCTCTTCCCTTCGAAGAGAAACATGCATATGCGAAAACTTTTGCGGAGAAGTACGATGAAAAGCTTTACAGTTTTCAGAGGTTCGTCCTAAACTTGCGGCGCAACAACGGCTACCTGCTTGGGCAAATCTGGAATGCCGATCAGACGCCTCTTTACTTCGACATGCCTGGCACCACAACTGTCGAGAAGAAGGGGGCAAAGCAAGTTCGCGTGCTGACATCGGTCCACGGTAAAACTACAGTGACGGCAATGCTCTGTTACACGTCAGATGGGCACAAGCTTCGCCCGTACCTCATATTTAAATGGAAGACAATCCCGAAAGGAATCGTTTTTTCGAGTGGTGTGATCGAGCGGGCCAGCGAAAAAAAATGGGTGCGCGTTGCAATCGATGTCTTACGTTTTTTTTTTTTTTTTTCGCGGTGGAAATCGGGTGCGCGTTACAATCGAGGGCGCGGTAGAATCGAGTAAATACGGTATTTCAGTGCTTAATGCTTTCACAGTCCAGTGTAATGCATGTACATGGGCTTCAATGCATGTACAACTTAATTTTAGTACTAAAAATAATGAGCACCTTAAAGGTCTTAATGGGGTAGCTATTACAATTTTGCAGCATTAGCTGGATTACTTGAAGAGGCAGGAGCTACTTGCACGACATAACGCCCAATGACGCTAATTATGATTAACAAAGTTACACCAATATTTGATGTTCAAATTAAGTTTAAAGCAAGCATTGTTAGAAGTATTGAAACAGAGTAGTAAAGAAGTAATAGTCAAATAGCTTGCCAACGAGCAATTTAATTTTAGAGAATTTAGTCACATTGAGATATATTCGTATTAGCACTCCAGCAGTGTGGAGAGTAAGCCTTCCGACCTTGCTGAGGATTCTGTAGTGTCGAGGGTCCTGTTTGTACTTGAGGCGGACCTCCTCATGGCCGTAGTCCACGCGCATGATGCGGGGCCACTGGGGCCATGGGTTGCCCTCCCCACGCTGCGGAGGGGGCTTAGGCAGGATCTCAAAGGTCACAATGCTCCGCGCACCCTGCAAAATGACGACCATCAAAAAAAAAAGATGTCATCGCGAGCATGAAGACTTCCAAACGTTCTGGCTATGATATTGAGGCAGTTGTTGCACCTCTGTCAACAATGTTATGTATAATTAACACACAAGTGGTATTTAAGAGTTAAAACGTGATGAAGATGAAAGCTTATTACCAAGTGGCACCACTTGATCTTCGGCCAAGCAAAATGCCGAAAGGGTATTTATGGCATCCATTAAGCATCAGTGTCATTGACACATATTTAGAAAAATCTGCAGAAAGTAAAGCTGTTTTGTGCAATGAAATGACAAGAAAAGGGTTTAGAGGAGCCGCCTAATATTTGTGCTCCCCCTAACATACTCCTTTCCGAGTAATTTCATTGCATAATACAGCCATTCTTTCGGTGAATTTTTCATTGAACAGGAACCGACTAGCCCCAGAAATGTGTAATTCAAGGTGGGTATTGTCTGTTCTGAGAACACATGTACAGCAAATATGTGCAGCTACAAGAGCTACGATGGCCATGCGCATGCACCCTAACAGAGCTCAGAGTGCGTAGCAGATTTGGGAAATATTGGATTGTCAAATTTCATTTTGAGATGTGTGCAGCAGTATGTGCTATGCCACAATCAGATCGGTGGTGCGGCCATGCTGACCTGTCGCAGTGAGGTCGCGATGCAATCGACACCCGTGTCGCCTCCTCCGATGACAATGACATCCTTGTTGCGAGCCGACAGTGCCATGTGGTCGATGTCGTTGCCCATCTGCTTCTTTTGCCACGTCTCCAGGAAGCTCATGGCAAAGTGGATGCCCTCCAAATGGCGGCCTGCGTGTGTAACAATTAACCTTTTAATGTTACTGAAAAAAATTCTGGCAAATCTTCATACACAGCCATTGCACTGTGGTATGCATAGCACTATGTGACGGTTATCAGGGTGTTTAAGTTGTTTCAGTATGATTTATTCCATCACAGAGCGGAACCTGGATGTATCAAATCTGGGATCACAAAAGAGTTCTATATATAGATAATTAAATACATAGAATGTTTTATATATTGACAACATATTCAAAAGGATCTCAGGTTTAATCTATTGAGCAATAATTTGTTACATGTAAGTTCAACTGTATATATATATATATATATATATATATATATATATATATATATATATATATATATATATATATATATATATATATATATACATATACATATATATTGCCACGACATAGTGCCTGCATTCAAATAACGCGCTCATCATCGCGCACACAGGGACATACATGCGTGCCGTCTAGTGTTGCGCAAGGACGATGATGATAGCACGAGAACCCAGCTGGCCCCGGCTGATGTGCGCCACGTGCTTGGGACTCCTCTTGAAGAAGTAGAAGAAGGAGACATCTTTGTGTGTTCCGCTGTAACGTGCTACGACCATAGTCCCTTTGAGTTGTGGGCACAGGCTCGCCCTTTAATAAGTACGTTTTATTACACCCAGAGTCCTTCAACATTGTTACATTTCTGGTGAACGTGCTGAGTAATGAATCAAAGCCCTACGAACGCAAGACAGCGTAGCCCCGACCACCAGCGAGCTGATCCTGGGGAGCTGACACCTGTGCATCAGAGGACCAGTCGCCGTCCTCGAGGTGATTCACCAGAATTCAGTCCACTCCATTTCACGCCAAGGGGAACTCAGTCAATGGACGCCACCACCATGACAAGTCATGTAACACCGGCCCAAGTGGTGATAAATCAGCCTCACCAGCCACCAGTATTTCATGGCGACTCGTATGAAGACGTAGAAGATTGGCTGAATCTCTTTGAGAGAGTGGCAAGTTTGAACGGTTGGGACGAGTGAGAGAAGCTCCGCCGCGTATACTTTGCTTTGGAGGACTTCGCAAAGACATGGTATGAGAACCATGAAACCTTTATGACCTGGGATGAATTTCAGCGACAAGCTCTGGTGACTTATGCCAGCGCGGATCGCAAAGAAAAGGCACAGGCTGCGCTCGAATCCAGAAACCCACTCACCAACGAAAGTGTCACAATGTATATCGAGGACATGATCCACCTGTTCAAGCGCGCAGATTCCCATATGACTGAAGATAAGAAGCTACGCCACCTCATGCGTGGGGTGAAGCAAGAGCTATTCGCTGTTCTCGTCCGCAACCCACCACGAAAAGTTGCGGAGTTTCATACGGAAGCAACAGCCATCGAGAGAACGCTAGAACAGCGGGCTCGACAGTACAATCGAGACATAGACTACGCACCTGCCAATACCTTCTCTGGAGGCCAACGAAGTGACATGGATGCCCTGCAAGAACTCATCAGGTCGGTGATCAGGGAAGAGCTCAGCAAGTTGCAAGCACCTCACACTACAGCAACACTGTCTGTCGTCGACGTAGCACGAGATGAACTGAGGCAGATAATACGTGATCCGGAGCGTGCGCCACAGCCGATCCAACACATCCCAACATACTCTGAAATACTCAGACAACCCGCGGCGCACACCAATGCAGCAGTTGCGATGGCCTCTCCTTGCCCACAGACGGTACGCAGCGCACCTCGTCCACTGGAACTGACGGCTACCTACCTGCCACGAGCACGTGGTGTAGCTCGCTACATGGATCAAAGGCCCCGGAAAAGTGACATCTGGCGTGACCATGAGCGCAGGCCTTTGTGTTTCCATTGTGGGGAAGCAGGTCACCTGTATAGGTTCAGCCCTTACCGACAGGCAGGATTAAGGGGCTTTCCGTTGTACGCACATGCCCTCGAAACGGTGAACGGCCAAGGCCAACGGAGATCGAAGAGTACTTGTCCACGCGCCAGAGCCCACTCACTCCACGCCAACATAAGCCAAGATCGCCGTTGCCCAGGCGTTACCGATCACCCAGCCCGCGCGCTTCTTCCGCACGATCTGGGCATCGTTCTACAAGCCCACACCCAGAAAACTGAAGCAAGCGACCTATGGAGATGAGGCCGCTGATAACTACAGTTGCGAAGATCCTCCATTACGGTTTCAAGGTGACGATGCTATGTTTACAGAGGATAAGCGCAGCAGTGTGAAGATTACTTCAGATTTTCGGTTGAAAATAGACGAATACGAGCTAAATGCTTTAGTTGACACTGGCGCTGATTATTCAGTAATAAGTCACAAATTGGCAAAGAAACTGAAAAAGGTTGTGACGAAATGGAGTGGGGCACAGATACGCACGGCAGGTGGCCACACTATTACACCGCTTGGCAGATACACCTCAAGGCTCGAAATAAGGGGCTTTACTTACGTTGCCGACTTCATCGTACTGCCAGACTGTTCAAGAGAGCTTATACTAAGAATAGATTTTCTGCAAGCCAATGGAGCCATAATTATTCTGCGCAGATCCAGTGTAACATTTTCGACCGAACAAGCTATGTCGGTGGAGGAATCGGAAAAGCAACGTCTTGCTGCTCTGTGCGTTGTTGATGATGACGTCAAAGTGCCACCACGTTGTAGTGTAATGGTGCTTGTTGAAAATAAGGCATTTTGTGACCACGAAGGAATAGCGGATGAAAACGTAGAGCTCTTTTTAAACAAGAGAATTTGCGTAGCGAGGGGTGTTGTTGGCCGCTCGGTTATCCTCCTTACGAATTTTGGGAATGAATGTCAGCACATCGCGCAAGGTATGGCTATTGCCTATTTCCATGAGTTCTGCATGGCGACTGAACTATGCAGTTTAGCGACAACATTAACCACTCCACAAGACACCTGCAATGTTGACGCATCAGTGAACGTCAACCATAGGCTCCCAGAATATCAAAAGAAACGATTGTTCACCTTTATAAAAGAATTTTCGGACTGCTTTTCAATGTCCTCTAAGGTGCGACGCACGGCTATTGCAAAACACAGGATTATAACAGAAGAAGCCACGAGACCGATTTACCAACACCCATATCGAGTATCGCAAAAGGAAAGAGACGTCATCAAGAAACAAGTGAAGGAGATGCTTTCAGATGACGTGATCCAGCCTTCCAGCAGTCCATGGGAGTCTCCCGTAGTGCTTGTTAAAAAGAAAGATAACAGCATTCGATTCTGTGTCGATTATCGGAAACTGAACAGCGTAACGAAACGGGATGTATACCCTCTGCCGCGTATTGATGATACACTCGATCGACTACAGAGTGCGAAATACTTCTCCTCCCTTGATCTCAAGAGCGGATATTGGCAAATTAAGGTGGATAAGCGCGACCGTGAAAAGACGGCATTCGTAACCCCAGACGGCCTCTACGAATTTAAAGCGCTTCCATTCGGCCAGTGCACAGCGCCAGTGACGTTTCAGAGAATGATGGACTCTGTCCTCGCGGGACTGAAATGGCAGTCCTGCTTCGTGTACTTGGATGACGTCGTATTTTCCGCTACATTGGACAAACATCTAGAGCGACTCCGCACAGTATTAGAAGCCATTCGTTCAGTAGACTTGACCATCAAGCCAGAAAAATGCCACTTCGCTTTTGAAGAGCTTTGATTCCTCGGACACGTTGTCAGCTCCGACGGCATACGGCCAGATCCCGAAAAGACAGCTGCCATCGCGAAGTTCCCGACACCCAAAGACAAGAAGTCAGTACGTCGCTTCCTGGGTTTATGCACGTACTATTGGCGATTTGTGAAAAATTTTTCGAACATTGCTGAACTACTTACTGATCTAACAAAAGACGAGGTGCCCTTTATGTGAGAAAGTGAACAACAGGAAGCATTTGATGAGATAAGAACACACCTGCAAGTCTCTCCAATCCTCGCCCATTTCGATGAGACCGCCGAAACTGAAGTTCCCACCGATGCGAGTAACGTCGGCCTCAGAGCCATTCTAGTCCAGCGGCAAAATGGCCAAGAAAAAGTGCTAGCATATGCCAGCTGCAAGCTTTCGAAAGCTGAGACAAATTACTCTGCAACCGAAAAAGAGTGTCTCCCGGTCATCTGGGCCATAAGTAAATTTCGACCGTACCTCTACGATAGACCATTACGAGCAGTCAGTGACCACCATTGCCTGTGTTGGCTGGCGAATCTTAAGAATCCCTCTGGCCGACTAGCAAGATAGAGCCTTAGGCTACAAGAGTACGATGTTACTGTGGTATACAAATCTGGGAAAAAGCACAGCGATGCCGACTGCCTGTCACGCGCACCAGTGGACACAAGTGAGCCGGAGGAAGAAGACTTCCCGTTTCTAGGCGTCGTCCAGGCATCAGAAATCGCTCAACAACAACAAAATGACCACAATTTGCTGCCGTTTATACAGCATCTCCAAGAACTCAATGTTAAAGTCCCGCGCACTTTATCCAGAGGGCTCCCTTCGTTCTATCTTCGAGAAGGGGTCCTTTACAAGAGGAACTTCAAGCCTCATGGTGACAAGTTTTTACTCGTTGTACCTGCACCTTTAAGAAACGAGATTCTGCACGCATGTCATGATGAGCCAACATGTGGACACATGGGTGTCAGCCTTACATTGGCCAGAATTCACCTAAAATACTACTGGCCAAAGCTTTTATCACCAGTTCAGCGCCACGTGAAAACTTGCCGTGAGTGTCAAAGATGCAAAACTTCATCCAGGAAACCTGCAGGCCTCCTCCAGCCAATAGAACCACCGCACGCCCCATTTCAAGAAGTCGGTATAGATCTCCTAGGCCCGTTTCCGATATCGACTGCACGCAAGAAGTGGATAGTCGTAGCCACGGACTATCTCACTTGTTACGCTTAGACTGACTCGCTGTACAGTGCGACAGCTCTTGAAGTTGCCAAGTTCTTCATCAACAACATGGTCCTCAGACATGGTGCACCCAGCATCGTAATTACAGATCGT